GTGGTTCCGCCCCCTGCGCCGGCCGAGGCGTAGCTGGCAAGCGGCAGAGACGGAGCAGGCCGACCACCAGCTGGCCCAGCCCAAGGGAGGTAAGGCACCCGCCGGAAAAGGGGAAAAAAATGGCGGACAAAAAAAATGGCGGACAGCCTTGCTTGGCGACCCCCGTGAAATGGTCGATCGACCCCAAATGGGGTCCCGAGCCACAGGTTGAGAACCACTGCTCTAGAGGAATCAGAAGTATCCCAGTTCTTGATATCTTGGCAGTTTTCAATACAGTTGACCACAATGTTTTTTTCTGGATCCCCTTTGGGGATGAAGAATAAGAGGCACTGTATTGTGGTGGTTTTCCTCTTTCTTTATAATTGATCCCAGTCAGTGTTGATGGGAGGAGACTATGAACCTGAGTTCCTTGATATATGGGGTGTCACAGGACCTGGCACCCTTCCTTCTCTTGTTGAATATCTGGGTGAGGTGATCTGTCTTTTTGAGGTCAGGTATGACCACTAATCTGATGATATATCTAAGCCATGGCTGACTAAGTGGTAAGATCAAGGTCTTATCTCAGTGTTTGGAGGCTGTGAAGGTCTGGATGGTAAGGAACAGACTCAGATTCAACCCTGGCACCCTGCCAAATGGAGTGACATTAGAGTCAGAGGAAGGCTCTGAGGAGCTCCAAGACTTACAGTCGGATGAAGAGCCTGGCCCCTCTACTTGGGCTCAGGCTGAGACACAGCTGTGCTGGGAGCCTGAGTTGGACAGTAATGAAGAACAATTGGAAAAAATCCAGGATGCACGAAAGCGCAGGCAACAGAAACGAGTAGGACAGAGGAATGCAATGGGGCGGCGTCCAAAGGCAAAGGAGAAGGCATTAGGAAACCACCCCTTGGCTGAATTATAAAAGGGAAGGTGTGGGAGGTGCTGGTTGCCGAAGGCAACCGTTCGTGTTGAGGATTGAGTTTCTGTGGACTGTGTTTGTTTGCCTTGGACTCTGACTCAGGTCTGTGAGAATAAAAAGAGTTGGTTTTTTCTTGCGGTTCCTTCCTGTTTCTTGGAAGAGGGGTTTCTCCTTGTGAGCATAACAAGGACTCACATAGGATGGGACAGAACAGTTATGTCCAACAAGATTGCTATCCTAAAAGAGCTGTGGTTAGAATGTAGTACTGGAGGCTGACTGTGCCCATAGCCAGGAGCTTGATCCTGACCGGCTGAAGGTTGACTTAGCCTTCCATCCTTCCAAGGTTGGTAAAATGAGGACCTGGATTGTTGGGGGAAATATGCTGACTCTGTAAACCGCTTAGAGAGGGCTGTAAAGCACTACGAAGCAGTATATAAGTCTAAGTGCTGTTGCTAAGTGCTAAGATCCTTTTCTTCTACAGAGAATCAGATTGCTTGTTTCCAAATAACATTGCAATCTTCTAACAGAACACCTTGTGTTCTTTATTAACCAGCCCTTTGGCTAATTAACCTCTGCTTCCTCAGTATTTGCCAAGGTACATGTCAGAGATTCTTGTAGGAGGAGAACCGTATTACTTTATTATAGCCCAAAACAGGAATAGTTGGGACTCATAAAATATATACAGTAGGTTGGAAAAACTCCTACCTAAACTCTTGAACTTTTGCTTTTCTGGGAGAGAGCTTTTAATTCTTTCCTGGGTGTTTATGTGTAACTCAGAGATTTTCAGGTATGTAGATGTAGGAATAATTTTTAAAGTGCATGTAGTAAAGAAAGCAGGTATGCCGCCAGTTAATCATTAAAGCAGGCTGTGAATTGTCTTGTTTCAGAATCTGCTAAGAGATGAGCTAAGTGGTTATATTATCTGCTGTTGGCCATTATGAATGACATTCAAGACTGCATGTCTATGGAGATTCTCAGTCATCCTGATCATGGTTGTCCCAAAGATGCTTTTTCAAAAGGCAACTGGGCTTTGTTTTTCCTTAAAGACATTTTGCTTCTCATCCAAGAAGCTTCTTAAGTTCAGTCAGCCTCATCCAAGAAACTTCTTCAATCAGAAGTGAAGAAGCTTCTTGGATGAGAAGCGAAATGTCTTCAAGGAAAAACAAAGAAAGTCTAATTGCCTTTTGAAAAAGCACTTTTGGGACATTCAAGATTGTAGTGATTATTTTCTTTCACTTGGATTATGGCTGTACTTGGTGTGTGTATGTGTGTAACACTACCACTTTTTATTGAATATTATTTCCTGGAGTGACAGAGCATCCAAAACCACAGATAATCATAAAATACGATCCTAAGTAAAATTGTACAAAGCTTGTCCATCTGAGAAAATGAATGCCTGTCTAAATAAGATGTTTATCTCTAAACCTCTTTGGTATGAAAAAGACACAAAAATGCATCTTTTAAAACAGTCTTTTAACCATTTTAATGAGTATACGTAATTGTTTTTAATATTACAGGGTTGAGTTTTGGTTTGAGGTTTTATTGCAAATTGCTGAGAGATCTTTAGAAATGTCAGTATAATAAGTAATTGCCTGGAGTCATTTGAAATTGGCAGGATATAAATGCTGTAACAAGTCACGTGTGTGGGGTGGGCAACTATATAAATCAACTAACTAAATGTAAAAAAGAGGGGGCTGGAAACATGTTTTCACTTGCAAAGGGACGTTAAACTTATTGCAGTTTTACCCTATTTTCCTTTGTTCCCCATCACCAATCAACAGATTTTGGCAGCCTGAACTTGAGTGGTTCTGGAGGCAATTTTTAAAATGGAAATTCAGGGTTATATCACGTGGCTTAAATTTTAGCACATCTGGGTCACGCTGCATTGAAAAAAAACCCATTAAAAGTTTCTATTTTTTTTTTAAAAAAGCACAAGTTATAATAAAATAACAGACTTTGGCTTCTAGGAAAAATTGTCCATTCCCACCCCACCCACCCCCAAGCTTTAAAGGATAGCAATATGGAAGAACGTAACTGGGTGCTGAATGAGCCCATTTGTCATACAAATAAATTGTATTTCCCAAGCCTAAAAGTTTCAAAATGAGAAAACAGTATTGCAGCACTATAAAAAATGTGGCGGCATTTAAGATATATCAGGAGCATGAAAAGTAAAAAAGGCTGTTTGTCTAATCAAGTTCCTGGCAGAGAGACAATAGGATCTGGGCAGGAACGGTCAACCTGCCTGGAATATAAGCCTTTATTTTTTCCTCTCTTTTTTTAGCGCTATGGAAGAAGATTGGGGGGGTGGGGGTGGAAGAAAGCCTTCCCCATTAGAAATAGCACAAAGGTTGTCTTCTGTTAATGTTACAACAAATGACAGACCAAAGGGCAAGAATTGAGGTCAGAAGAGGGTTAGTGGGTAGTGCCTTCCAGCTAGGGTTGCTGCAATGTGGACTGGTGTGTGTGTATGTGTGTACTTTGGAGGGAGGGAGACAGATGTGTACAGTTTGCAAAGTCTGTTGCGTGTCTTTTAGGACGTGTGTCCAACTTTTGTTCCTAGATAAAAGACAGCTGATGTTTAGTTTTGCTAAGACTAAACCCTGGTTGCATGGAGAATAATTAACCCCTGAATATGGCCATTACATGGATTAGAATCATCATTCTTTTCAATTGCTAGACCCAAAAGATATGGACTTTAGCAACAGTCTAAGTAGGTTTAATAATATAGTGCTACCAGGACTAATGACAAGGATTTGCTATATTGGTTAAAAAGAATTTTGGATTAGCAGAACATTTCTATAGTGTTTTTATAAAGTACTTCTTTAATTATACCTTACATGATTGTTGTGATGGTGAAAAACAGGAGAGTGAAGTGCTATTTATGG